GAGAGGCGCAACACCTAAAAAAGGGAATTTTTGTTCTGTTTGGTTCCCATCCAAAAACGGTGTTGGGCACATCGTCAACGTTCGACACCGACATCGCGGATTCCCCCTCGTCTTGCCAACTTTGTTGTGCAGGCTTGACTACGGTAATCATTGGGCGCAGGCACACTTCGGTTGGAGTCAGTCTCCTGTGTTGATGGACGAGCGCCTCGATGTGGAACTGGGTGGCGGGCGCGGTGTGAAGAAGAACTGGCCTTGGCCCCAGTGTCGGAAATGTGTTCGTGAACCCTCGCCTTGTTGCAAATAGAGCTGCTCTAGGGATAGGCAGGGTTAAAGGTAAGTCAGTATGTTCGCCGCTGGATGTCTTGATGGGACGACCAAGATGTTAGTCCGACATGCAAGAATAATGATTAGGATCTATGATAGATATAATTTTGTACAGGTTGCAAAGAGCTAACCTCCAAGTTAGCACCGTCGGCCCTTCGTCAATGACAGCAAACATACCGTTCATCCAATGATATCATAATCGTTACTCCTCGATCCCGGGTCCTTTGCCTTCTGCTCCTTTATCCGCTGATACATAACAAACTTTCCATCATCGTCCTCTCCAACCGCCTCCTCCACCAAATCCGCCAAATCAATAATAGCCCCATCCAAAGTCCGAATCACATCAACCGCAGTATCCCAAGCCTCCGCACCCTTGCTCTTCACTAAAATCTCATGCACCTTCTCCGACACCTCCCTCAGCACTGTATGCGCCTTGACAGCAGGCTCCCCTTGAGACCGAACGAGACGCGTCACATCCTGGAAAAAGTTGTCAATCACGTCTGGGGGAACGTCCGTGAATGAAGAGCAGAGTTCTCGGAAGTATGACAAGGCAGCGGACGGCTCTAGAAGATCTACAGCGCCAAAATCGCCGTCGGCTCGTTGGATGTGGATGAGGCACGTTAAGAGGTAGTTCGTTTGGTCGTACTCGTGGATCAAGTCCAGCATGGCGTACATCAACGTGAGCGTTGAAAAGGCTGCGGCACCTAAATTCACGAGTTACCCCCAAATTTGAAACTTCTAAGTAACCGCCGAGTAGCAATGCGATGCACGTACCGATGACCAGACCTTTTACTTTAGACCTCGGAGTTCCATCCTTCCTGAAGAAAAATTTTGAAGCTAAACCGGCTGGCCTGGCGCTGAAGGACGCGTTGTGTATTATCCGTCGCCTTGGGGCTTGGAAATTGCGGCTAAGAGAGCTTGTTGGCCTTGTGGCGGCCCTCCACGCAAGCATTGAACAGCGGAGTGAACGAAAGGAGTATTGTTTACTATTGTTGCAAGTTTGTCTTCATATGACAAAGTAAACAACCACTTCATCGACAAACGCCACCTTCACTTGGGGCGCTTCAACCAAGCTTCAACTCAACTTCAACTTGGACTCTGGAGAATAAATGTCAGACTCCAGCAGACTTTTAGTGCGATGTCATGGAAGTGGTTCCGCTTCAAACCTGCTAAAAATTGAAGTCCGATCTCACAATTCAAATTCTAGTAGGCATCCTGAACCAATCCTGTCGGAGATTTAATTCTCTCGTCACAACCAGCTGACAAGCCTGACATTGGGACGGCATTGAATCGGCGTTCTAAACAGTGCTAACTGTTGAAAGTTGCCTATTTTTCTATTTTTTAGCCCAAAATTGGCTACAATCATGCAACAATCATGTCACAAGCTCTGTTGCAACCAGTTGTCACCCTGGATGGGACCAAAATTGTGACTAAAAACTCTTTGGTTGTTTCTGTTTATAACGGCCATTTTGATAGGAACATCCACAACAAGTTAGAACCAGTTGTGATGCCTAATTAGAAAACTCCGACAAATCCTGAACAACAACTTTTTTTTGTTTTGGTTGGGAAGTAAAGCTGCGAACAGCGAAAAAGATGATCTGAAGTGGGGCGTCACAGGCCAAAAATTTCGACCAAAAAACTGCAACATTTAAGGAGAAAAACAGGTTGAAACTGGCCAGAAATTATTGAAAGTTGTCACCTGTGCTGGGCTTCGGCTGGAAGCTACTCAGAAAGGGCAAAGATTCTATCAGAAAGGGATTTCCCTGTTGTTTCCCTGCATTGAGAAAGCCTAGTGTGATGGAATTTCTTAGTCCTGTGATAGATGTCACATCAAAAGTGACTAAGTGCCCAATTTGGGTCAATGTTTGGCAATTTGTTCCAGAAGAACCACTTGATAAATTGTTTCGAAATTTGATGGGCAGATTGTTCTCCATGAAAGGAAGCGATTCCACTATTTTTCATATTTTTCTTGGCACTTTTTGGTGTCTGGCCAAAATTTTAGGGTCTATTTCTGTATATGGCCATTTTCTCCAAAACAGCTTGTGAGACTTGGCTGAAATTTGGCCAGAAGCTTCCCTCAACGTATCTGCACGTTTTCTGGGCACTTTGGTAGCCATTAATACATTTCCATTTTTATTAGTGGGCTTTGCTTGTCCACGACTGTAATTGTGACAAAGACCCTGCAGTGCCCTGGACTGAACTGTCCTGTGGGAGCTTTGAATTGTCTTTTTTGCCTTGAGAAGGTCCCCACTGGGTGGTCAATTTTAGCGTAGAAATGCGTGAGTTGCCAGCGAAAACCATACAGAAACATTGGTGAACCTGAAAAAAGACGATCCAGTCCCATCCAAGAGACAGTTCAGACCTGTCCCTGCTTTTTTGATATGTAGCCAATCTTCCAGAATTAAAGGCTAAACGATTACAGGTATGTAGCAGCACATGTTACTTATCACTACTGTGGTTTTATTTGTCCATACTCTTCTGAAAAGTATTTGAAATTTACAGTAATATATAAACATGTCAATGAGGAACGTTGAACTTGGAATGACACATCCGTGTTTGGACAGACGCAACGATGCAACTGACATGTTTGGATGGTGGCAGTTATCAACACACCTAAACAAAGCCACAGCATCAATGTGAACCATCAATGTTTCAATGTCAACACATCAATGCCGACCTGCTTGTTTCTCCAGCAGTTGAGAAACTACACGGCTTGTCAGGCACCTTGGTTTTGCCAGGCCTCTGCAAGGGTGTAGCTCTCAACTGCCTATGCCTACCTTCTCCAGCTGTCTGCTCCCTCCCACCCTCAATACCAAATGGCTGACAGGCTGCCTTTTGTTCCCAATGTGTCGCCTCCGTTTCG